ACAAAAGCAACCACCATCTCGTCTTCTCAAACACAAAACTAGCCATCAGTCGGCTCCAGCCTTCTCAGCTATGCTACGAACCGTTTCGGGCAACGGCAGTGGTTTTTTCAACAAGTAAATATATCTGTATGCTTTGAAGCAGTATAAACTCTTTCTCATGTTCCTAAGTTTCATCCAACGATCAATGCCTCATCGTCAGGTAGCCGAAATTCAACTGCAAGCATTGATCAACGATCCTGAAGAATCTATGCCTGCATATGCACGTAGAGCCAGTGATCATTTGTCGACTACTGACGAACTATCAATTGAACAAGTCTCCAAATTGCTCAATACTCAACCGTTTATTATTGAACGACTCATGCACGCATTGAGTGCATCGACGGAAGGTGAAAATATCACTTCGCTAAAAAAGAACGACGTACGAAAATTGACCCAAGTTCTGAATGGAACGATGAACGTGCGGGCTCTTCTCTTTTTTATGATGCTAGACGAAAATGGCGATCATTATGTGAGCGCCGATGAATTGTCCAATTTTTACGAACGCTACTTGAAAGATATTCGATCGTTCGATAGTGATCGTTTGAGCGAAATTGTTCCAGTACTTTTACAAAAGTTCTGTCTTCATACAGTAAGATTATTGTTTTTTCTTCTTAGCAGGAGTTTTCCTTTTTGATTCTTGTAGAAATCACGAATCGATTTTGAAGAATTCTATTTGATTGTTCTCAAAGACCAGACTCTACTCGCATCACTCTCACAATTTACCGTTCATCCAACTTGGTTTATAAGTCCAGATCCGGCTTCACGGAAACAGAATCTTATCCAACGCTTTCTTACCAACCTTTGCTGGAAACAATCGATATACGAACAGCACAGATCAAAATTAACAATGGATTATTTACACGATAATCTCGCACGTGTCATTTGGCTCACTCTCTACATTCTACTAAATTTTGCTTTTTTTATTCCTCTACGTTGTTATTTACCGTTCGACAGTTACCAAATCGAATGTACTCGAAGTTATTGCACGCATCGGAGGCATGTTACTCAATTTAAATTGCACCTTGGTGATTGTTCTCATGTTCAAACGTACGATTTTACTTATTCGTTCAAATGAAGTCCTACGTACATTACAGTTTCAGCAAATTTATTTACCACTGATATTGAACGACAAATCCAAATTTATGAAAATACACTGTACGAGTCAGAATTCACTGTATTTGTATGTAGTGGTAGTGTTCAAGTTTGGAGAATAAAAGGAGAGGAGTACAGACGCGGTTGCATGGCACCAACGAATTATGAAAAGATGCTATAAAGTCATGGTTATGATTGAAAATATCAGCGAACTAAATGAAATATTATCAATTTTTTCTCTGTTGGAATACGACATTTTGAATGCGCTTTCAGCTCGTTTTTCAGAGCTTTTCATAGGATATGAACTGCAGGACTGGAAATTTTCAGAAACTGGCTCTGGACTGCACTGTAATGCTTAAATTTTAAACTAAAGAAGAAAACTTTGTCTTCTGCTAATAACAATAGTGATTGTGTTGGAAGAACGAAATGACAACGGCAGTCGCTGGACAGCGGTAATCAAAAGAGAAAATTTTCTCTCGTCCACTTCGTTCGTCTATTCTGCGGTCATTATACATTCTACGTCAAGTAAATTCAAACATATTTGTTTACGAAGGCATCACTAAATTCACATATGAACTATTGAACAAAGAACGTAAATTGGAAGGAGACAAAAAGAATATTAACATTATTATATACAACGGTCGTCTCTTTCACCGTCAACTGGATGACACATTTTCAATTGTCAAATAGTGATGTTAGGTACGTTTATTCAAATAGTAGTTGTGGCTTGATATTCAGATATATTTACTTGTTGAAAAAACCACTGCCGTTGCCCGAAACGGTTCGTAGCATAGCTGAGAAGGCTGGAGCCGACTGATGGCTAGTTTTGTGTTTGAGAAGACGAGATGGTGGTTGCTTTTGT